AACCTGGCACGGTTCTCGATCATCCTAGAAAAACTAGCCACGGTAAAACTCCGATTATACGAACCAGAACACGGTCGTTTGGAAAATAACTCTGTTTCTCGATCGTTGTGAAATAAATACGAAAGCTCAGCACGATCAAATATTGACATTAATAGTTCGATAAAATATACAGGAATCAGTGTTCCACTACGAGAATACTAACGAAGTTAAGAAGCACAGAAAATAATAATTATTTTCGAGCCTGAATTCTGAATCCTGCATACACCTTGTGTAAATCTATTTGGTAAATTTCCATTTCACGTTGAACAACGGGAACTTCGAAATATCGGTAGGTACCTGATCTTTGTCAATTCAATTCCTCGAAGTTCCACGATGTTTGGCATTACTTCCCCGTCTCTCTACGACCGCAATATCTACGTCATCACGGTAACTAATTGAGTTGCACTCCGCACAGATTTTGCCCCCCGGCCGTGTCAAGCACGTTAATTCAATACGTGTAACTTTTATGTTATAACTTCCGATGGAGTTCGCGCGCCTAACTTTCGAGTTTCCAATTAAATTTAAAATTCGATTATTCGCGAACGCCTCGCGAATTTAAAACAGAAAAATTACAGTGTTTGAAACTTCAAATTTCTTTATTACGGACTCTCGCTTATTAAATTGCCACTGTTTCAGAAAACAGTTGAATAAATATCGAACGTTTCTCTCTATTTTACTTGTAGTCTTCTTATAACTCACCATGCGATCCCGACTGTACGAACTATAGCGAGGGACTACTGTACGACAATGCCTGACGCGCTTTTAAGTTAGGAGACCCGAATATTAGTTCCAGAATTCCGAAGAGACCCGAAGAGACCCGATCAGACCCGATTGGAGTCAACTCTAATAATTGCATCGAAACGAAAGAATGCAGTTGCAACGAGATGCGATATCCGCGTTTCCACAAACTCTTTCGTCCATCCGTAGGCTTCTCTCCTGCCGATCCGTCGTAACCACTTTGCCGAGTCCACGAGTGCATTTCGATGTGAGGTCGGAAGCAGCTTCCGCGCGGGATTAATTCAAAGCCCGTTCGGATTGCAGTTCGCGCGTGGACCGCGATCGTTCATCCTGCGCCCGTGTTGCACTTCGTATATCGGTGGATGCAATCCCCTCGCGCGCGTTCGAGATTTATACATGCGTCGTTCGTGCTCGGCCGAATTTACTTTATTCGCCTTCATCCACGATCCCGGGGCGCGGAACGTTCTTTGATTCCTACTAGCGAAATGCAGCGAGCTTTTAAACTCGAAGTTTGCCAATTAAACACGCGTCTGTTGTTTGCAAAATATACGAGGTCGCGTTTCACGAATATTTATAATTTATGCGTACCGGGCGGGCATACGATCGTGACGTATCTAATCTGAATCAGAGTATAAAGTTTGATCGATGGAACGCGGAAAAGATTTTTAACGAGCAATCGAGAACGAATTTCGCTGAAAGTGATCGCTTTAAAATTTGAAGTTTAAACGCTTTGTCTTGTACACGTTCGTGCAGACTCACCCGATCGTTACTGTTCTTGTTTTCGTACCCGCGTGCCAATTCTGTCGTGCACGCATTGTCGCCTGTTGGAGAATTCGATCGAATCGACGGTCCAGCCGCATTATCCACTTCAACGCTGGGACCAAAGCCGAAATTGAAGTTTTGAATTAAACCATCCGGATGATCCGTCGCGTCTGGCTCGCTTTAAGGCTCGTTTGCAATTTCGTTGCCAGCAAATATGTCCCGCCTCCCCCACTCCCCGACCCTCTGGTCCGTTGCTTTAATCTGAAATTATGCTCTCTCAAATTAGTTCGTCGATCCTCTTCTTACTCATCGATGGAACGAGGACAGGTGAAAGGTCAGACACTCGTTCCATGAAACGTACAACAAGTGTTATTTTATAGCGAATGGAACGACGATAATCTGTTGAAATGTTTCGCGTGTACTATCATGGAAGAGCATCGAAGCATAGAAGAATGTTGGAAAATTTAATTTTTTCTTTTAACACATTTTTATCGAACCAAGCGGATAACTATCGTACTGTTAAACTTTGACTATTGCCTTTCGTTGATCATAGTTAATATTTCGCAAAATTTATAGCCAAGTCCCACTCGATTCGTTCAATAAATACATTTACTGTTCGCCATCAAACATCGACGCAATATAACCGCCCTCGAAAATCGATAGAAAAAAAATTGTATTCGAAAATCCCCCAAAAGCTTTATTTTCGATTTCCTGCGACGCGTAATCTTTCCGGTCTTGTCGCGTTGTTCATCCTGCGCAATACCTTCAATAAATATATTTCCCCGTCTCCCATAAAAATCGATCAATATTCAAAACTGATCTCCCCGAAAACAAATTTAAAAAAAGAATTGATTTCGACGACCTCCCAAAAAACTTCGTTTCCTGTTCACTGCGACAAGTAATATTTCTTTTCAGTCGCAGCGTGTTTAATAAAGAAATCGTCTCCCATCGAATGACCGGTATTTAAAACCGTTCTCGAGAATGAGTTTAGAAAAATTGTATTCGAAAAGCAACATCCCTTTTCGTGTCGCGTCGTTGGTCCTAGCCGGTACGTCGAATAAATACATTTCCTCGTCCTCCATCAAAAACCGACACCGCTTTGTCGCGTTTTAAAGTAATTTTCCCATCCCTTCTCTTTCAACCCTCACACCCGCTCCTTCCTTTGTTCCGTACACGATTAATTCAACGTCGCTCCGATGCGATTTTCATTCGGTGAATTTCGTCGATGTAAAACGGTCGCGTGTCGCGCGCAAAACTACGCTCGGTAAAGTTATTAATATCGCGAGAAACGCGGTCGGGAAATCTGCGGGGGCTGCAAGTGGTACGTTTTCGGTGTCGACTCGCCGCGGAGCCGTAATAATGGCCGTCGGTCGATAATCTCATCTGGTGAACTTTTACAATCTCGACGCAGGAGTGGACGGTCGAAAACGCAACGTTACACGTGGATGCATTCCGTACACGTTCCTCGAGTTTATCTCGGTAAAAGTGGGACTGACATATTGGGATCGTTCTAGCCGTCTAGTCGCATTTATGTACCCCTCGTGTCGGCGTGCCGCGCCAAAACGATCGTCCTCCTTTTTCTTGCTCTCCCTCTATTTGGTTTCCGTTGGCTTCGCGCGACGCTCCTAACCCAATCCCCCCCGACCCCGTCTTTTTCATCCCCTAAACGTCGCGCGTACCACGTTCAACGTAAACTCCGACGGGATTATCATATTTGTTTATTTATGATTTAATATTAACGTAAAGCTCTTTTGGATACAATAAAATGCAAATACACCGTACGAATATAACGGAAATTTTACATTATGAAATATTGCTGCGAGGAATAGCCTGTCATATATTACACTGGGCTGAATTATGCGCCGCTGTCCGCGACAGTAAGCTACGATCTGTATTCATATACTTATACCAAATTATTGCAAATAACCGTACACGCGACTTTGATCGTTCCAGATTGGATTTTCTTTGAATCGAAAGTTGAACGAAGTATGTTTGACTTTGGAGTGTAAAAATAAGCGTTTACGTGTCATCTAGTCATCGAAAAGTCTTATATTACTTAATATACTTATACCAAATTATTGCAAATAACCGTGCACGCGACTTTGATCGTTCCAGATTGGATTTTCTTTGAATCGAAAGTTGAACGAAGTATGTTTGACTTTGGAGTGTAAAAATAAGCGTTTACGTGTCATCTAGTCATCGAAAAGTCTTATATTACTTAATATACTTATACCAAATTATTGCAAATAACCGTGCACGCGACTTTGATCGTTCCAGATTGGATTTTCTTTGAATCGAAAGTTGAACGAAGTATGTTTGGCTTTGGAGCGTAAAAATAAGCGTTTACGTGTCATCTAGTTATCGAAAAGTCTTCTATTACTTAATATACTTATACCAAATTATTGCAAATAACCGTGCGCGCGACTTTGATCGTTCCAGATTGGATTTTCTTTGAATCGAAAGTCGAACGAATTATGTTTGGCTTTGGGGTGTAAATATAAGCGTTTACGTGTCATCTAGTTATCGAAAAGTCTTATATTACTCAATATACTTATACCAAATTATTGCAAATAACCGTGCACGCGACTTTGATCGTTCCAGATTGGATTTTCTTTGAATCGAAAGTTGAACGAATTATGTTTGCCTTTGGGGTGTAAAAATAAGCAGTTTACGTGATAAAATATAAAATATTGTTGAGGATATCTGGGATTGAATAGTTGGTGGAACACGATTCCATATGGGGCTGTTCGTCGAAATCGGTGGAATGTCATGCAGATCGATAATCAGGCAATATCCGTCGATGGACCGTTCCAATAATCGAAGGCAATATTTAATCGTCCACGGAACAACGTGTTACGTACCTTGCTAGCGTCGAACCGGCCCGAGAATCCTCTTGGGATAAAACGATAAGCATATTAACGGACGTTACGACAGATAACGCCGGGAAGAAACCCGATGAAGCGCCTATCGATCCTTCGACGAGTTGACGACCTAATTATACGTCGTCTAGTATTTCACTGGGGAAAGCTCATTACGCGAATCTCGATTCTAAGTTCCCCCTGAATAATTAAGGTATCAAACTTGCCCGTTGCAAGGAGTCTTTCCGTTCCTTTATCGCATTCAACCTTTGACTCTTGATTTCGCGAAATTTTATTCGAATAATTTTACAATTTTTTATGAGAATAAACGTTTGGTGGAATCGTCAAGTTTCTTGTTTAAAATGATGGAATTATTCTGTCGATCCCAAACAGGGCAAATCAAAATTCTTTTGTAAGGAAAAACAAACAACACAAAAAGAAGAATTCTTTTCCCTGTTTTCCATTTTCCGGAAACGAACGGTCTCGTAATAATTCGAATCCGTTTAGAGTTTCCTGGTTCGACGAGTGACTGTGTAAATATTGAACAAAGAGATTGAGAGAGGGAATATTCTAAACGGGGGATTTCAACCCTTTTTGTTCCAGGTGTCGAATGAAGCAGTGGAGGAGGGATCTGCCTCCCACCTCGGTCATAATTACGTTCCACAACGAGGCACGGTCGACGCTGCTCAGAACTGTCGTGAGGTATTCGCTGTCACACACTTGACATGAAATTTCTAGTCGCGTAATTATCATTCACGCGATAGCAGGGTTAGGCGTGCAATTGGGGCGAAACAATTGCAAAATCGTCGCGTGACCAACTACGCAAAGTTCGTAAATAATAATTAACATTTGCATTTTTCTATCCAGTTTGATCAGTGCGTTAAATTTAATTTCCGTTCGTAGCAGCAGGTTTAAAATAAAATTCCTGCGCGAAGATCCGCCACGAGGGAAACGCGAGAAAATTCTCGGATGCAGGTCAGAAGCGCAAGGCGACGACCAACGGAATTTCCTAATCGTCGTTCCATCGTTCCGTCTTTCCATGCCCATTACTCGCCCCCCACGCGTATTATACTCGAGGAGCACGGTGGCGATAAATCACGCGCGAAATATGAAGAACTGCGTGGACTTAAAAGGATTTTCGAAACTCTCGCGTCCGAGACAATTACGCAAGATGAAAAATGTGTGATATAATGCAATGAATCCCGCGAGAATTCGAGAACCGAACGATTTACGATTAGCTCTGTTCCGTCCCTCCTCTTCCCCGAGTATATTTTCTACAAACTTCGAACGCAACACCGGATCGAAAGTATAAAATAAAATGTGTTTGCGCGAACCGTCGTTTTCAAGGGAATCGACTTTACGATGACATAAGGTACGCCATGTGTAAACATTCTCGATTGGATTCCGTGAATTTTTTCTTTCGCCTTGCATAAGAAATCGCGTCAGTTCGGTGACCATGCAGAACGCGAACGAACGTGTACATATAAACCTGTGTATTCAAATAAAACGACAGCAAAAATAAATATCAGAGGCGTCAAAATACTTCGACGACGTTTACTGATATATTCAAAAATTCGAGAACCTAGCATAGCCTCACGGGAAACACATTTACTAAAATTACCATTCTTATGTAATATCATATTTTTCCACGGACACTTTTTTATTCATGAAGAATAAAATTAAAGAATTTATTTATATATTCTATCGAACCTTGAGAACAAAAAATCGATTCACACATTTTCCACGCAGTTTTGGGAGTTTAGAGAAGATCGTAAATATGTCCGACTTCGTCTTTCATTTTCCTCGATGCAGTGGCACGAATCAGAGATTTCCCTCGCGAACGTTCGCCTCTTAATTGAAACGCTTTTTCCACGACGTAACGTTAGGCGACTCGAACGAGATTACGAGCCACGTTCTGCGGGGTAAAAATTTTTCCCGGTGGTAAGCAAGTCTCGAGGTGGAGGGTGCACGGAACGCAGAGCAGGAAACTTATTTAAAAGAGGATCGTTGTCGTTTCGAGGGGACGCCTGCGACAGAATTACGCCACTCGATAAAATTAGAAACGTTTAATTTCTGCATGGAAATTTTCCTTAGCCCGTTACAACGTGCCTGGGAGCGAAAGTAATTATATTTTTGCCTTTCAGCGTGCTGAACAGGAGTCCCGAGCATCTGATCAAAGAAATCATACTGGTGGACGACTTCAGCGATCATCGTAAGCTTCGATTTCTCTAATTTTTATCAAAATATTATGAGCTTGATATAGGACTAGCAAACGAAATATCAAAAAGAAAAATAGACCAAAAAGGACATACTTTTTATGCTTTGAACACTTTACGTAACTTCGCTCGTATTTTTGTCATTTTCAGCCGAGGACGGCGAAGAGCTATCGAGGATACATAAAGTGCGGGTGATACGGAACGAGAAGAGGGAGGGTTTGATGAGGTCGAGGGTGAGGGGCGCGGATGCAGCCACCGCGAGTGTACTAACGTTCCTGGATTCGCATTGTGAATGCAACGCCGACTGGTTGGAGCCTCTCTTAGAAAGGGTAGCGGAAGATCCAACGAGAGTCGTATGTCCCGTGATCGATGTGATCAGCATGGATACCTTCCAATATATCGGTACTGTCCTTACGAAACGTATTCTAGCCATTGTCGATACCTTTTCGAAATTAACATCTACTTGTCTTTCGTTATTTGAAATTTTTATCCAGATAAGAAAATGTTTCGATACAATTTCTGTATATCTAGGGGCGTCAGCGGACCTGAGGGGTGGGTTCGACTGGAGTCTAGTGTTCAAGTGGGAATACCTGAGCCAAATCGAGAGGCAAGCCAGGCAAAAGGATCCCACGCAAGCGATCAGAACGCCAATGATCGCCGGAGGCCTATTCGTTATCAATAAAGCGTACTTCGAAAAACTGGGAAAGTACGACACTCAGATGGATGTCTGGGGTGGGGAGAATCTCGGTGAGTTTTCAAGATCTATTCGAAGAAATCACATTCGTAGATCTGTGTCATCGTTGTCAATTTTCTCCTAAGTGTACAAAATTCTAAATGATACTCGAAACAGTGTCTGAATGCACTGGAAAAAGAGATTACATCAGTTATAACAGGGTTAATGATGATCACATAGATCTAGGAAATCACAAATGTTGAAAGAAATTCATTTGAAAGGAGGGAAGAAAGAGGAATTTCGAAATGTGATTAAAGACGAAAGTGTTGAACCATTGAACGGGGCTTTTCAGAGATATCGTTCCGGGTGTGGCAATGCGGTGGCAGCTTGGAAATTATTCCGTGTTCGCGCGTCGGCCACGTGTTTCGAAAACGCCACCCCTACTCGTTCCCCGGGGGTAGCGGAAACGTTTTCGCGCGGAACACCAGACGAGCGGCCGAGGTGTGGATGGACGATTATAAACAGTTCTACTACAACGCGGTGCCTCTGGCGCGCAACATCCCCTACGGAAAGTGAGAACCCTTCATCAATTATATTCCCAAAACATTCGCCATTCGAGGACACGCTGTAAAATTCAATACCAAGCTTTCGATATTTTTTAACGCTAAACCTATCCGACACTTCGTGTATACCCACTCCTACCATGACAAGTCAAATGACCAGCCTTTCTTTTTCTCTTTCACGAGGCAACGAACTTCTAATTTTTCCATTATATTTATAGAAAATTGTGTTTTGAAGTTCATTCGAAAGGTAATTTAAAAATCGTACTTTAACTTCATACAGAAAATGTACAAACTACGTCAAAATTTCTTAACTGTCATCAGCTAGGGGATAAAACGCCCTTGAAATACGAATTTTGTTTCAAATCGATACCATAGTTAGTTCGAGAGAAAACAATTATTTACGAAAAACTGCTGAGATAGTAATTACGCAGACATCCTGTATAGATATATAAATTCATTTTCAATTAAATAAACAATGTATAGTACAGTCGTATAATCAATAGGAAGTGCAGAAACTACTTTGGGAATGTAACGTCAAAGTAAATTTCAAAATAAACATAGAAGATAACAAAAATTATAATAGGTAATGTGCTCATCGGATAGGGGATAAAATGCCCTTTAAAATGAGCGCTCGTACGAGTCGATAGCGTAATTAGTTCCGGAGATATAGCGATTTTAGTTTCAAGTCGATGCGGTGGCTAGTTACGGAGATATAAGGGTCCGAAGCGTTTGTTTACGTTTCATTGACGCGGGATGAATGACCACGCGCGCGTAAATAGTAGCGCGTAGTAAATTCTTGGAAACACTACGCGGAAGTAGGTCACGACAGTCACGTACGCGGGCTAGGTCACGTGCGACGCACGAGCGAGAGAGAGGTCCGACGCGCCAGACGAAGACAGAGATAGTCGAATTAAGAAAAATTACCTTTTACATAAATTGCGATATCTCGAAAACGAAAAGTCCGATCGACAAATACCAAAAACCATTTCAAAGGGGAAGCTTCGCCGCTGCCAACGGCGGTTCAGTTATGCAGAAAACACTAGTAGTTTCGGAACTGCACGCGTCCAAAGTTTGAGTATTTTTAATACACGTTTCTAAGGCGGCGAGAGCGTGGATAGTGGAATTTAAAAAATACCTCATTACATAAATTACAATATCTCGAAAACGGAAAGTCGGATCGACAAAAACCAAAAGCCATTTTAAAGAGGAAGGTTTGCTGCTTGTAACAGTGGATTGATTATTGATAAAACGCTGATAGCTTCGGAACTGCACGCACCTAAAGTTTTACTATTTTCAATAAAGATTCTCTCCTTTCATCTTTACTATATACTTCCTATATTCATCGAAAGCTAACCAGAATTTGATACCAAATTTTGTGCGGTGTTTTACAAAAAAATATAAATCGATTCAATCGGTCAGTCGACCGGTCGTGGTAGGTTTAGTGTTAAACTAAGACGGTTTTAAAAATCTCGAAGCCCACGAAGCTCGAAGCAAAATTAGCACCGATTTTCGAACTCGTTGCACAGCTAATTCCACGAGCATTGTCCTCGGACACCTCGTCGACGAAATTTAATGGAAAACGAACAATTTTCTTCGGTAGCGTGCGAGATCGTTTATCACGAACTAATTCCTGGACCGTCTTATTTCCCGCGGCGGGTCGATTTACGGCGCAGGAACGGGACGAAATACCGATAGTCGATTTCATTAAAACGCGCGTCAGCGCACGTGAGCCGTATTAATAAAACGACGCCCGTTTCGTTTTAGTATTCAAGACAGAATGGAGCTGAAGCGGAAATTGCACTGCAAGCCCTTCAGTTGGTATCTGAAAAACGTGTATCCCGAATTAGTTATACCCACCAGCGAGGGCGGTCCGGGGGGATCCCTGAAGCAAGGAACCGCGTGCCTGGATAGCATGGGACATCTACTAGACGGGAACGTGGGACTTTATCCGTGTCACGACACTGGCGGTAACCAAGTAAGTACGCCGGTTCATTATTCAAGCGGTGTGTGTTCTAAGTAAACTCGACCGGCTGGATAGTCCGCCGCGGTTGTTTTACCGAAATAACTCTTCGTTTCGGTCCCCGGTATTAATCCGTCCATTCAATTTTGCGCTTTAATCATCCCCCGAAGGATTTCGTGCCCGGATAAAACATTAAAGGATCCTCCAGACACGAACCCTCTTTTGTCTCAAAGTTACGCGAGATAATTTTCATATTTATAACGATCTATTCCTGGTTTCAACCCTGCTCGATCCGTGTCTTTCCTGATATTTCAGTTGTACAATTTTTTCAATTAATTTATCAATATACCGTCGAAAGCTATCGTTTTAACGAGGCTCCGATGACGCAGAGATATCATCTATTTAACGTAGCTATATTTGGGTCGCTGGTCGCTAACCACAGATGTTCATTTGGCCATCCGATCAATTAATAAATGAAAGAGACGCGTCCCAAATAGTATTCAATTGGTAGCCTGCAAGGACAATGGACAACGTGAGTTATTAGAGTGCTTAATTATTTTCATCGACTCCCTTTAATCGCTGAAAAGGGATCCACTTATCGTGGCTGTCACTTCCCTAAACAATACAGGAGAAGAGGGATGTTACGTTAACAGGGATACTGGCTACCGTTCGAGTACCATCTGGAACACCGTCCATTGTTCGATTAACCGATTAAAAATACGCAGTCGGGGACAAATAATCCATATCCTGTGCACGACTTCCTTACGTACCTCTAACTTCGAAGGATATTCTCATCCCTTAAATTTGAATCACCGCAACTAAATAGAATTGTAAATGCTACGATGGTTTTAAATCACACTTTGTTCCGTTTTCAGGAATGGGGCCTAACGAAGGACGGTCTGATAAAGCATCACGACCTCTGTCTAACCCTACCGGTGTACGCGAAGGGCACCACGTTGCTGATGCAAATTTGCGACGGTAGCGAGAACCAAAAGTGGAGACACTTAGAGGGTGGACTGATTCGACACTCGAGGATCCCTGTGTGCGTGGATTCGAGATTCCAGGCGCAGAGGGGCATCACCGCGGAGAAATGCGACTCGAACGCCGAGACGCAGAGGTGGCACCTCTACAATCACAATCACTAGCTCGTGACGACCGTCTCGTGAAGATCGCGATGTCGTCGCCACTCCCGAAGGACTCAAGGGGTGCGTTATCTGATCAGAAGGAGCCGTATCGATCTGATACGATCGATCGATCTCGTCGGCCCGGGATCCGGGCTCCTCGATCGAACCGGTCGATGAGCCGTACGATTCGTCGTTTCGTCGCTAAAAACGGAACTTCTCGATAAAGAAAATCGCGAACGCGACAACGAGACTGTTTCAAAGAGATTCGAATGCTTACGACGATGAACGAGGAGCAAGGCGGGAACAGCAGGGGTCGACAAGGCTCGCGAGTGAGACTAAAGAAGACTTGGAATTGAACTCCAGCGTACAGGAGGTCGAGCGAATTTTATAACGGAGGAACAGGCTGTTATTTTTTCTATTTTACTTGGTAGAGGTAGACGGCAATTTTAGACGAAGGGAAGGTTCGCCCGCAGATCCAAACGCTTTGTGAAATTTTGAAAACTGTATCGAAACCTGATAAATTTCAGGAACGCATTTATCATTAATTTACATGATCTCAAAGGATTCCCCGACACCCTTTCTCGATTACCACCACGAATATCATTCAAAAGGAAAAACCTGATAAAAAGAATACTCCGATGTATCTGTAATTTTAAGCGAACTCGAAATGCACCGTGTACTTTAATCTTCTACCGTTCGAAGTGTCGTTTAACGAACATCGAAGCGTTGCGTTTAATCGTAAGGTCGCTTCACCGAGCAGCTGAAACATTGTTCTCGACCATTTCGACGATCGACAACGATTGCAAAAATGTCGGTGCCCGTGGTCCCGTGTTTCCCATCGATTTCTCTGTTTCTCGCGGATCGATCGTACCCGACTCTTTGTTTTTTTTAGCCGACTTTGAATATCGTTAACGTATACGCGGGCCCACAGCGTCGACGTTCATTGTCTCCAATCCAAAGGACGAATCGCAGCGTGAATCGAACGCTTCTTAGATCAAAGGCGCGCGCGCTACACGATTCTCACAAAGAGATTTATTTTTGTATAACGAATTGTATACTTACTTGGTTGTGCGAATAGTTGGGAATTGCGGTGTGCTCCCGCCCCCGAGGACTCGACGCGTTACGCTCCCGGGGTCTCGTTCATCCTTAACGCGACGACAAAGATCGTCGCATTAGGGGTGAGTTTCTCTTTGATGGGATTGCGTGAAACGTCGGTGCGCAATCGGAGCGTCTACAACGCGTCGAGTTGATTAAAAGCGGGGAGGGGAAAAAGATGCGACTAAATGCAGCAATATGTAGCGAAAAGAAAAACGATCTTTTGTACACTAACACTTTTCCCGACGACAATGATCCACTGCTGTCATTTCGCATTGATACTACATACGTATATATATATATACATATATATACATAGCATTTTGTATGATACTAAAAACGCGCTCTAATTGCCTCGACATTCGCAGCTCTGTAAACGTAAGGAATTGCTTGAAGGATTGTTTTTACTTGGAAGTTGGGTAGGCGGTACGCGCTGTACCATACTGATCAAAATCTCGTGTCAAAATTGGTGCATTGTACATACAGGGTGCAGCGATAGTAATGGTTACGGATATATGGGGCGATACCACGTGAAAAACGAAGTCCGAAACTATAGACCAGTGCTTCTCGAATATTTTAGAGATACAAAATATATAAACGTTTCTTTTAACTAAACGAAAGCTTCTAACATAACTATCTATTATATGTTTCAAATAATGCGATGCAAAACATCGCGAAAATCCCAGTAATATATATAATTCTCTCAAACTGAAATTTAGAAATAGGTATATTTATCAAATACAATTAATTTAAAGAAAACCACTGACCAAATTAAATGCTTACACTACATATTGCAAGTAATGTGATACGAAACGAAAGATCACGAGGATCCATATTGTATAATTTTTCTGGCCTAAAATTTAGGAACGATTTATTGAATAAGATTAGCGTAATATTTAAAACGATACAAGAGAAATATATTTCTATCTGTTGTCGAATCCCCAACGGTAAATATAGACAAAGATATTTAAGTTATCGACACGTGAAGTGTTTTCTTACACGAGCAATCGCCCCATATGTGTTCATTCTACGAATACCATCGCACGTTGATCTGCCTCGCCTATTGAAAACGATTTTAGGCAAATATCGTCTCATCCCGAAATTTTAATTCGACGCGCTGCAATTGGATCGAAATCAGTTTGTTGCTCAACCCAGACGAAATTCCTGCTAGAGGGTAGCTTGCCTCTCTGTTCGAGAAACAGAAAAAGGTGGTTCTAACGAAATCATAACTCCTCGCTGACCATGAACGACCAAATAATTTCGATCGAATCGCGGCGCTTTTAATTCAGTAACTACCCGAACGACTTGCGAATCGATGCGCTGTAAATACTTCTACGTACTCGATTAATTAACTCTCTCTCTCTTTCTCTCCCGTCCTAATGCGTCTCCGAGTAGCACTTTCTTCGTCGTCAACGCGAACACTTTTCTCGTTCATCGCTTTCGTTGCGTGCTTCGCGAGTAACGAGACAACCATTAACCGCGTAATAACTGTAAATAATATGTTTACGATCTAAGTATAAGATAACGAAACGTCGTACTTCCATGAATCTGTAAGCTGTAAGATAACGAGCGATTCAAACCTAACGTTAAGGTAGCAGAGTAACCCGTTCGATGTTTTGATACGCGTGTCAGAGAGACGGGGACTAATTTCTGCTGGACGCGAATAAAATAAGAAATTCACTTGTACATTGAAACGAACATTTTCCAGTCTCTCTCGTACGACGCGTTCGGTTCTTGGTTAATTTTATATTCGTTGAGACAAGGCCTCGCATTCTGAAGCGCGCTGTTCCAAAACTACACCATACAAAGATGATTCTAAAATGATGTCGAACAATTTACAGTCGCATTTTACGTCTCGACATCGACCCCATATGACTTACACGCATTCTGATTACACCTTTTTACCGCTGGCAAGCCACTGTGGCTTTAAAACCATAGCAAGACCAAAATTTACCTTTCAATTCGTATTCGCGAGTCGCGTAAAACGCGCCCATTAAATTTTCGGACAACGCTTCTGAATCATCCCGCATAGCGTGTCGCAGAAATGTAATCCTTGGAAATGTGTTTCGAAAACGAGGCGAAGTGATATTGAATTTTGACATTGAGCATCGTACGTTTAATGCCAGCTATTTTCAACTTACGATCTGATATTTATTTCGAGGGATTATATTGATACACGCAGACTCGGCACGAAGAACTGATTGTTCATTTTTTTACGTTCGACTACATTGAAATTGTAACGAATTTACAATTTCTGCTAATAAAACGATCCTGAGAAATACACGGACACTTGGTTTTGGAGTCTAAATACCTGTCATCAAAGCAAACCACTGAATTTCTACGATGTATACAATGCGTATATACTTATCTATATTTACACATTTATGTTAAGAATGCGATATTATAGTACTTATAGAAAAAATGTTTTTTAATAAAACAATGGAATTACTCCGTATATTTATACGCGAGTCGTTCCCATAAAAAAAATTCACGTATCAACAAGTACCTTTCTTCATTAAGAACTTTGTGTATGGATTTAGTTATCGTGTTTCCGTCACGAAAAATGAGTCTTACAATTTTCAAGCAGTTTTTAAGACTTTGCACTACGTTTTTTCAATCCTTTTTTAACTTTCTTCTTAAATTCATTTAAATTTATATCGTTCTTCTGCTCTTTGCTTTCTTTAGACTTCTCTTCTGGCGGTACGAATGCCTGTGCTCTACGTTCTTGTCTCTTCTTCTCAGCCTCTTCGTGCTTGATGTCTTGTTCCCTCTTCCTCTTGGCCCTCTTCTGTTCCTCCTTCAAGAAGTATTCACCAGACGCTATCATCTTGTCTATCTTGCTCTCCTGCTGTGGCGGTGGGAACGGCGTATAAGGTTTCTTCTCCTTCTTCTTCAGAGGTTGTTTCCGTTTACTGACGTTCTTGCTGTTGAACTTTGGAAGAAACCTCTCCCAATTCTCGTTCATTAATTTTGGATCTTTTGCCAACTCTCTTTTAATCATTAATGCCTTAACATTATAAATTGGATGGATATTTTTCATAGTATCTTCCACTATACGTCTGACTTGCTGAAGACCTTTGTAAGGACCTAACGCAGCCACCGTTTGTCCCTGCACGAGTACATAACAATTTGTAAGCAGCTCGATAGATTTCAAGGTACAACCATTGGGACCGATAAGCCTCTGACGCCGCTTGACAAACTTTTCTCTGTTTCTAACCAACGAAGATATTTTTATGATATCCGAACCAATGTCATCCTGCAATACTCTGGTAGCTTGCTCGAAAGGAACTGATCGCGACAGAAGCTTAATCATGTCGCGAGCTTTGACAATAATATAAGGATCCCACGTTTTTCGCGTGGTTTTGACTGTCATACTACCTTCGATGAGATCCAATTCTGCCTTGACCGCATACTCCTCCAATGCTTTCTGAATCAGCGGCCAGTGTTCTTTCAAGTATTTTTCTCGGTATTTCGGGAACAACGTCGCAAACGAACTCTCTTCCAGCAGACGATGAGGATTGTCCTTGGGTGTAAAGTTCGGAATTTTCAACGACCACGCATTGTCCACAGGTCCTGTTTGCTGTGGACCGTCTTCTCTATCAGAGTCACTCATTTTTCACGTCTGCACTTTTTACTCTTCGATCATTACACCAAAGTCACAGAAAGAAAGCGTCGATGAATGTTCATTAGGTTATGTTCACTTCTTACAAACAAAGTTACTATTCTTTACTTCATTGATATCGTTCTTGATCAATAGTTACGAACACGCTTTCAACAATCGATTCATGAAAGTTGCACGTGAATTCTTAACAGTGTTTTGAGTTCGAATGTAGGTTATAATGTTAATTAGCACACACGCCACAGACCACGCGTGGAATAGATTCACGATGTGTCGTACGATTCGTGGCCACTAGAGACCTCTCGTATCAGTTTCAAAGTTAACGACAAAGTTACCAACAAGAATATAAAGCAATGAGTTTTAATGTAATCTGTGAACGTTTTTCTATGTTTTATGCGCAAAGATACGATAATAGGATCGTTACGTCGGAAATAGAGACGGAACACGTTATCACTAGACGGCAGCCGGCGCTCGAATGGTCTGCCTCTCCCCCCCCGCCGAGCCTCACGTTCGCGAGCTCCTTCGGAGAGCTTCGGGAATTAGAGAAAGATGGCGAATGTGAGTCTTTCCTTCTCACTCTCGGAATAATTGAAATTCAAATTATGTAAATCACCATACGATTTCGAGTCCCGACTGACCAGAGATTTCTATTTTCCGACCTATACTTATTACACCATAAACAAGCTAAAGAATAGACCTATCCTTGAATGGGAATTAAATTAATCGATTTTTATCGGGTCGATATTTTAGTTCGTGCGATTTATACGTCTGTACCAGCGGCCAAGAGCTTATCTGCTATCGGACATATACCTACTTTAGACAATATTAACCATTTACAATACTGCTTTATCTGAAACTGAAAACATAATTTAAACAATGAAAATTTCAGTATTGAATTTAATCAAATTATTTATTATAATACTTACGTAAGACGAATATAAATGGCCTCACGTTTTTCATCTTGTTTCCCCTCTTTTATCCATAAGTTGCAAACCCTAAATTTAAAAAGTATATCAGAAATCTATATTTTATTTTGCAAATTAATCTTCCATGTTATAATTCTAGTTCCCTACAACTTTATAATTGTATTTCTATTTTTAATCGAAGGTTTTGTATTTATACTCTGAAGAGGATAAAGGGAAAAACCATAATCTTTAACCAAAGTTATTCGTGCCTGATTACGAACATACGTCCACGCAAAATCAACTGGGACAACGAATGATCAACGCACGGGATATCTATGACGCAGTTTATTATACAATTACAATATTCTTACTAATCATATTGTGATAATGATCGTAGTAATAGTGTATCCTAGATAACATGAACTATTCCAGATTGATATGACTTTATTTATACAACGCCACGGGCACACACGCACGCACACTCTCCCTTTCTCGCGCTGCCTATCGCTCTAGCTCTTCCGGTTTGATCACCGAGGCGAGATCGACGCGGAACATCGAAGGCGGACGTCAAAAACGCGCGTCGCAATTAATTATTCCCTAATCGTAATTCGCGACACCGATCCACCGGTCGCGGATGAACTCTTAAAAAGACTGCGAGTTTCGAGAATCACTAATTCTTGGTACAAAATAATTTTGACGACTTTGTCATCGAACGAGGACTCTCCCCGTCGCCGCTAATCTCTTATTAATATTATTATTCTTTCGTTTAATCTTTTAAGAACTGTCATACCGTGCTCTTTATCTCTTTATCCTTTTCGGCCAACGTTCGTCTTCGTACTTTATAATATTATCGTTAATGGTATTCCTTTCTTAATTAATTAAACGTTATTTCTACGCATCGAATCGAACGACGCGCGCGTCCATCATTATTTACGAGTTTACAACACATCGAATCGTTAGTAGGCTCCTATAGTAACGCTAGATTCCTCTCAGAAGACAGTTATACGTTTCTACTGATTGATTAGTCGGCTAACTTCGGTATACCCGGCTGCGTTTGGCTGCATTCACGGTCGCGCGTGCGGCCATATTTTTTTTTTTTTTCTTTTTATGTGGCTCGTTTGTCGCGACTTTTTCGCGCAGTTTCTATATTATTCGCAGACGTATTTACAGAAAGAACGCGATTGGGACGGTAGGAGCAAAATCTCGCGCGTTTTCGCATCGAATATGAATAATCGCTGGAATGATACAAACGGAAAATGTTAGGCTAATATACATTTTCGCGCGTTTGGAATCGAGTTGAACAGTCCATTACTTCGACTTTGTTCGAACACCAACTAAGAAAACTGTGTTTCACGAAAATGATGATTAATACGTTCGTCGCCATAAGAAAATGAGGACTTCCGGCAGAGCTTTAAGAGTTCGTCAAAATTAAGTTGCAATTTCCGATTACAGGAAAGTATCGATAATGTTTTATCCGTTACAAGATCGTATCGAAACTCACGTATTTTCTGTAGTATAGCAATTGTATTCGAACGTGTGTTCGAAGCTCATGATTTGCGACGATTAAATAAATATTTTACGGTATAAAGTATTCGATGCGTCTAAAAAGAAAACCAGGAAACAAAGGGTCATCGGTACACAGAAAAAAAAATCAAAGGAACCAAAATAACTAAAGTCTGTCTAGCACTTTTATTTTCAAATAATAAAAGTTAAAATATAATGAAATAATAATAATAATAATAATTAATAATAATAATTAATAATTAATAATAATAATAATAATCACTGTAATTAATGTGTCTATTCGCTCGCGGAATGCGCCGGCTCGTCGAGGCTCGCGAAAAATGAACCAATGACACGTCGATCAGAGGGGTTAGGGGGGCGAGTTATCCATACTAATTTCTCACTTTTTATCTACAACATTACACACCTTCGACGAACGAGAAGAAAACAGAAAAAAAAAAAAAGAAAAAAGGAAGATCAGGAAAACGCAGAATTGTCCGTCTATCACTATCTCTCACTCTTCATTTTCTAATCATGTTCTCCACTATGTCTATCGATTTTTCTCGTATCTATCGTTCTCACCCGTTCTCCATTAAATTTATAAAACGTCTAACGCACTCAAAACCGAATGCTCTAGGAACTCTTTTTGTATCGTCTTTCTTTTCATCGTCAATTTCTCTCGCTCTCTCTCTTTCTCTCTCTCTCACTTGCTCTCATTGTTCGCGCTTTTGTTTCACTACAGCTTGGTCCACGACTCTGGAAGTTAATGGTTCGAAGTAAAACAAAGTACAGTGGGCAATGAAACGGTGGGATTTTAATTCTTAGGCTGCAGGATCGGGAAAATAGGATCGGAGGGGGCGAATAACGCTTGTAGGTGATTTAGAACGAAAGGACGCGCGGGATCGATACGAGATCACGTCTCGTACGCGTTTACATACATACATACATACATACACGTATTATATTATATATAATCGGGCGAGCAGAATATATTAAAATACGGAAAATATATTGTAATATATCGTGTCGCGTCGACGTGGCTCCTGTAGAAAATTACATATAATATAATATCAGATATACATATATACATACGCTGGCAGAGGTGCACGCATACGCTTGTGATTAACGCACGATGCTGCATATATGTATATACATATATTTTTAAAAAAACGATTCTCGCAACAAATGTACACGGGTGAAACGCGCTGACGTTCTCGACGATAATAAAATCGAGGGGTTAAGAAGCCAAACACGGGTTCGAGTTTGCAGAAAATTCTTACAAGTTTGTAAAATAATAAAATATTAAATATTTTTAGTTTTACTATCGATCTATAACGTTAAAATTCGTATACCAAAATGTTTAAGGAAGCAAACGCGACGCGTTAAAAGTTGAAAATGAACTGTATAAATGTTAAAAATGAAACGTCGATCATTTATTCGGCATCGTAACCCCTCGTATTCAAATCTCGACACGGCTGGCGTCGTCCACTGATATCTACGATTAAGGATACTTAATAATATTCGTAATAATAAGAAACGATCGCTACGGTGATTTAAATCCGCCGCGGTTTCCGCTAATCGTCGCTCTCTATCGATTCTCCCTATTATTTACAACACGTTTACTTTATACATTTATGTATAGTATGTATATTTATACATGCATATGTATAACCCGACGCACGTGCTCGCCTCCTGCGCAATTTCTCTGTGCTTCTTTCGGTGTACGTGTGTACACGCACATACGTATATATATATATATATAATATAATGTATTTATAGGTATATCCACGACTCTTAGCATACGGCGATTACGATATAACTACTATGTATACGGTCTTTATGAACGTTTCATCTCTGTCACCAAAATCATAGCCCTTAATTAGTCACCGGGAGTTCACCACCTCGAGGCGGTCGATTTCTGCGCGCCAGGACGAGAGTTCTCGCTTCGAACGCGCGTCTTCAGCCTCTATGGAATTGTCTCTGCTCGAAAATCAACCGTGTGAAAGGTAACGTGTCGTTGAAAAATATGGGCGCGAACTCTCGAACCGCGAGCGCGTACAATCGACGCGTCCAAACGTATACGCGCTACATGTATGTATAATTATTTGCGTGCAGCGGGTGTATATATACCGTATGTATGTACACGTACGTACGTACGTATCTACAAGAGCTGGCACTCGCGTCGATCCAAAGACATTCGCCAAAAATACGAACTCGCGCTCGTTCGCCATTTTGGAGTCGTTTCTGAATACTTTGAGCCCGGCGATGCGACTCCACCGCGCGTTGAAATCACCGAATAACTCGATTTTATTTCGCGGAAACTAGTCGCGTTATCGATCTGAAATTAATCATCGGCAATTTAGGGTTAATTCTGGAACAAACGTCGAAATTTGGAATCCTCTAACTTAAATCTTTACCGGGATAAAATTGTTGGAAATTCGTTAGTATCAGCGAGCCGCTCGTACGGCGCCGGACTCATAGCGTTAATAGTCTAGGTTTTGTTTATTTTTTTTTTGTTTACATTTACGTTTACAGGCGACAATACTTTGGTTTGGGACTAATGAACGACAATCGATCGTGTCTCAGGAACGAGGAACGAGCCATCCCTCGTATTCTTGTTAATTTCGCAAAATTTACGCTCGTAGAAGTTCTAAATATGTACAAACTCGGGACACGGATATGTATGACGCTGCGACAGACACGCAAACGTATGCGTAATTATTTACAAACGTATTGTCGGACCTCGCCGCATTTTTCACCACCGGCGAGGGAGCGTTGCCCGTGGCTCGAAGATCGTAAGCTCGTCCGTGATATTCAGCGACAGAAAGTATGCTTGCGAATCTGAGTGTCTCGACTAAATTGTAACCAATTAATTCCACTCGAAAGAACGAGAAAGGGGTCGTTGAATTTCAGTGACGTTTTCGGTGTTCCTCGTGGCAGTGAACGATCGAGCTTCGACAACTTTGTAATTAACGTTCGACATTAGTTTCTCTGGGCGAGCTTTCGATCTTGAAATGGCGAACGCTCTCTCGCTGGTCGTACGTTAACCCTGCTTACCACGGAGAGAGTCGAGCGCGACACGACGAACTCCGCGAGACACACGGAAGGTTTTTGATTTCTTCGACGCGTTCCCCGTCGTTCGTTGTGCTCGCGTTGCGAACGCTAAAGTATTCTCCGAATTTCCGCCGAGGTTGCCCCGCGATCATCGAGACCCGCGACGACCCACGTCGAGTGGAATTTCTCGGGATCGCGAGACCATCGGGTAAAATTTTATACGGTTCGATATAAGTCGTTTCGACGGGCAAAAAGAGAACCAAAGGGACGCGGAGGGAAACCAGTCGATAATTACATGTGTATCGTCGAACGGTTCCCCTCTTGATAAATATTTCATGATAATTCAAATGATAACTCGGAGTAGCCGATCAAGGGCCTTGCTTTATGGCGGATCGTGGCCGGCTGCATTCGTGTCGTTAATTGCGTCTTGTAGGTGAACGGTGTACAACGCGACCATGTACCGACATGTATGCGAGAACGAAGGCTTCGAAGTCGATTCAGGAACTTTACCAGCGTTGGAAACGATCCTAAACGGAAGAAGTTTAAGCGCGACGTTGCTTCGGTCTCGAAACTGGACAATCCCGATTCCTTTCCCGAACAAAGTTTCGATCGATGCAGTATTTATACCGGGGGATAATAATATTTATAAGGAGGCTCGCGATACGATAATCGGCAAGGTTAATGGGATCATTCGCTGTAACAATTATAATTGTACCAACAACTATAATAACAAGGACAGCAAACCGCTGCACTTTGATGTTCCTCATGTAATTCAAATTACGCGAGAGCCTCTTTCGACGAGACTTCCGACGATCTTGTTAGCAATTTTTTCATTGTTAATTTAACGGGGAGGCCAATCTTTTAACGATCGGTTACAAATATTAAAACCGATCGAAGAAACTCGCGATTGCACGAGCCTCGGGCTCGCAAACAAGACCGCCAAAGACCTTTGATACTTCGTTCGACGTTACAAGACGACCCTTAACTTCTTACGATCCGCTCGAGCCAGTCGACAAGTTAACAACCGAAACGCATAATACTGAGAAAAACCGTGAAACTTAACGAAATACCTCTTTGTCCTCTGGGGCGCGTCTTTGGGCGTTCGCGATACTCAATTTCCTAAGTCGAAACAAGCAATTGTCTAAAGAAAGTCTTTCGTCGACGTTCTGCATCCTCCTCGACGCGTCACCGTGCTTCGTATACTCAGCGAGACATAGTTATACCTTGCATCGAACAGGAGCTCTACGTCGCTTCCCTCGTTCCATCGTAGAGTCCATTCGTAGCGAAACCTTCGTCGCCAGGATATGTTTCGTATCGTATCGCGATCGTGCCATTAGGTACGGCGTATTCGTCTCGTCCACTGCCAAAGCTGACTATTGCTTTACCCCTTCCGCGACGATCCTCCGCGTTCTCGTCCGGTTCGCGCCAAATTCCATTCGGCGGATCGGAACCCTGTGTCCGCCGAATCGACGCTATCACCAGTGACGTCATTGTCATCTGCAGACAGACCACCTGGCGGGATTAGTGATAGAACTCAGGTAGATTGCACAAACGTCGTTGCTGTTGCTGCTGATGCGATTGCTGGTGATGATGCTGATGAAATAGTGCCTCCCCCGGGTGGGTCGGCTGCTGGTGTCACTCGTGGGACTTGCCGCTCAGCGGGTGGTAATTTCCACCTGCTGAGGCCACCAGGGCCAAGGGTAGCGGCGAGCCGAGAGGCGTCGCGTGAGGGTGGGAGTGGCCCATGCTGGAGGAGTGCGTCGTCAGGGCCAGAGGACTCCCGGACATGGAGCTTGCCAACGACGCGAACACGGACGGAGCGGGAGACGCCATCGTCGGGCTGCCCATCGCTGCTGTCGGCGGATTGATCCTCTTCTCCTTCTGCCGTCTGCAAGAGGAAAACCGCCTTCGTTAAGTTTTTGGATGAAAATTTGAATCGTTAAGCTCCATGCGATTGAAACAGTCGCGTGTTAGGTCCTTCCATACGCCTTTGCCTTGATGCAATAGAATTTCAAAGTCCCGGTGTTCATTGATTCGACACAAGTTCTTCGTGTCGAGTTTAACAATTATGAGGCTGTTAATTCGTCATCGAGTCTTATACTATATATTATTGTAATTGACCCCACGCAACCGAAAATAAGTTTTTCAGAATGATTTGAAATTTGTTAATTTAACAACACCTTTCGAACACGCAGAGGCTGACGGAACGACCTAATGCTTCCAAGCTTTGCTATCCAAGGGAATAGAAAGCGATGGAAGCTACGATATACAAGTGCGGAGATTTGAAGCTCACCTATTGCAAAACCACACCCGAACGACTTCCTTCTCCATCGCCAGGCTGTCGGCCAATAGGGTGATTTCCTCCGAAGTGGGTTTCGGGTTTTGTACGAACGCCTTTTCCAACGCCACTCTCACGCTGGTCTCTATCGAGGTCCTCTTCTTCCGCCGCCTGCCGATGGCTTCCGGTGTGGTGAGTGGGTTCGAAAGGGAGTTCGGGTTGTTCAAGGAATTGTCCGCGTCTTCCAGCCATTTCTGCAGGAGGGGCTTCAGCTTGCACATGTTCTTGAACGAGAGGTTCAACGCTTCGAACCTGGAGAACGAGAAACAGACATTGAGGAAGACGAATCTACGTGGCGTAAATAACTTGATGAGGATCGTGAGGATCGTCGCTACCCACCTAGAGATCGTCGTCTGGGAGAAGTCGTTGCCGTAGAGTTTCCCCATGGCGAGGCCAACGTCGCCCTGAGTGAAACCTAGCTTGATCCGCCTCTGCTTGAAGGTCTTGGCGAACTGCTCGAGTTCCTCGAGGTCCGTCGTCTCTTCCGGCGAGGGTTCCAGCCTGGTCGGCGGTTGCTTGACCGCTGGCGGCGTGCCAGGCGGCGGTGGTGACCTTTGTTGCGCCAAACTTCGACCAATCAACCCTCCGCCGCCCTGGAGGGCCTGCTGCTTCTGCAAGGCTTGCAACTGCTGCTGGGCCGCCTGCGCCACTGCCTGCACCTGATAACAGACAAACGTCCGTGTGTCATCCTCGCGGAACGGTTGTCCCTCCAATTCGTTAACCGTAGCAACGAAACGTCTGAGTCGGATGGGGAAAGAAACATTCTGTTTTGGGCTCAGACGTAACGCAACCGGAGGATAAGCGATGGCCTATCGTAAGACAGTACCTGCATGGACTGTGAGCGCGGATGACTGGGTCTTGAGGCGTAGCCACCGCTCTGCAACAGCCCCTGCAAGACGTTCACGACCATTGATACATTGACAACGGTCTCATTGTAACTAGTTACGGGTCATACTGTTCGAGGTTTCTTGCGTTTCGCCAGCTCTGCAACTTCGTGCCTCTAAAGATTTACGTATTTAGAATACTTTGGTTCTGTATACTTATGGAGACGTTTCCGAGGAGTCATTTTTCAGCGCGAATAGCTGCAGCACTGGCGAAAAGTCTAGAACGAAAGGTACTCGAATAGTACCGCAAGAACCCTAATTCTTTGGAAATGCAACTCTGTTGGGGATATCTTGAAATCGACCATGGGGTGTGTCGTACCCGATGATTCGAAACGCTGGTTCGCGTAACGGGTTATTTGGAGACTTTGATTCGAGGTACGGGCGAAAAGTGACACGTGTTGCGCCCACGGACAGGTACGGAGTCGCTCGAGGGGCGCTCCAACCGATCGATTATCTTCACCCTTTTCTTAACCAGATGCTCGATTAGGAGAATAAGGGGCTCGTGCAAAACGCGACGCCCGGGGAGCAAAAAGGGTTTTCGGGACAGGTCGCGTGTCGTTCCCGGGGCCACGAGGAACTTGTTTATGCTTATTGTTGGCCGCGAAGACACCCGGCGCGGGGTCGCTTTGAATACGGCCACGTGCCACGACAGGTTGCGAAGACCCACCGATCACCTGTGCACCCTTTCCTATTCAAACGAATTTAAAGTAGAGAAGTCAGAAAGCGTGACTACTGTTTTAACGTTTCCTGCACTTTTGTTTGCAAACCTGGCGTTCGCCGATTTCACAAAATCAGAGTGAAAGCTATACGACGTGGAAATTAATTACGCGAATGTAATGATAACTGGAATAATACGGAGTGCTTCGTGAAGGTGGTTGCGAATTTCGAAAATAATAACTTCGTTTTATACATGAAATATAATTTGGAAACCTGACTAAGCAGGGGAATCGTATTCAAATAACTGTTTCGCTATGAAAGCACCCTTGCCACCGCAAAATCCTTTCAAGTTGAGACGTTACAGTTTCGAAATTAAATATCCCTTACACGGACTTCGGAGACGCGCTTAGGCCACGCGTGTAACGTTTGAAAAGGGTTTGGGGCAGGTTGTTGCGCTCTGACGAGAAAGGGTTGCGCGATGGAGGAGGTCGTGTGCCCTCGATCCCTGGTAGACCGTTCTCAAAGAGACCAAGAGGGTGCCTCGAACGCTGGCGAAAAAGCTGGAGGAACCAAGAGGGGGGGTGTAGATACAGGAAGGTAAAAAGAAACAGCCCGGCCACGTGTGAGGGAACAAAGGGCGCCCCGTGGCAAGGTGCCCAAGGGCCCGGGGATCCCTCCTCGTTGCACCTTTCAAAGAAGACACGAAAGACCCAGGCCTCGATGCTCGCAGATACGTGGACACGAGGGCGGCCATTAAATCTGCTCAAGTTCGAAGTCGTTTTGTTAGTTTTTCCAGAAGGTTACGCGACGATGCACGCACTCCGCGCGATGGAATCTTTAGAAAATTTCTCGTAAACGCGCAGGCCTCGTACCTATTCAACCTCCGGGGCCCCTGAAAGCCCGAGGAAGGGAGGGGGCGGAGGTTGGAATCGTATACAGGAAGGAGGATCATTTTTCATCCCCGGATATATCGTGAATCGATTTTTTCCACAAAAAATTTGGAAAATCTTGAAAGGGCCTCTGTACACCCCAGGCGATAAATATCTGCGTTCTGGGGATCTATTAGGGACTATGTAGTTGAAGCTTTGCTTGCATAAGTGTATCATGATTAAAGAATTGCTAGAAATCGTAAGGCGACGATCTTTTCCAACAGAGTTTGAAACCGCAAAGGTAGCAATTACCAATGGATGCTGGAAGAGCCGATTGTGTTTGTGCCTATTCGCGCTCAGCAGCTTTTCCGAGGACACGTCAGCGAGAGAAACCCCCTGTCCTCTTTATGACATTGGCTCGTCTGCTATCTGGGCGTCAAATCGAGCGAACCGTCTTCGAAGAATAAGACGTCTACTTCTTTTGGCCGGTCGATCAGATATACCGGGAGGAACGTCGTCTTTCGATCCTTCGCTGATCCACCCTGTTTCCCTCCCGTCTCGAATCGAATTCGTATCGAGTGGGTAATTCGATGGAGAAGCCGAGTGCTGGGAGAACAATGGCAGGAATTCGAGTGCACGAGGACCGTTTGTTCGCGCTACGAGAATAATTCCTTTGCCAGCGATACGAGACGCGACCGAGTCCGAGCGGCTTTTGTGCCTTGCAGGAAAAGAGAAGATTCTGTCGCTGGGGAGCTCCACGGTCGCGGAACTTCTGCGTTCATTTTGATTGAAATGGATATTTGTTGCGTAGCTAGTTATTAAAAGCGATCAAGATGGATACTTTGCTGCAGTAAGTTATTAGAAATAGTACGAGTGTATAAAGTGTTCATTAAAACCATTAGAATGGAATTATTTTTAAAGCCCCCAACGACAGAACCCTCCTCGCGTGGTAGAATAGCGTACGAAAAAATAATTTCCCGTGTTCCACGAACCGGATTCTGCAAGAAGAACTGCGCCTGGTTCGCCGCCGCGGGATTGGCCTGTTGGAACATGGCGAACTGCAACTGTTGCTGCAGCGACTGAGGCTGCGGCTGAAGCATCGAGGCCAACGTTTGGATCTCCTGCGGTCCAAGAGTGCCCAGCGTGCCGTGCATCAGCAATTGTTGACCAACCAACTGAGCAGCGAGCACCGCTTGCGAGTTGTTGCTGTTCTGCTGACTGGCCGTGTGCTGTTGCTGCTGATGGCTTCCGGTTATCTGGCTGCTAACCCCGGAACTGGGCGAGGAGGCGCTGCCGCTGGTGCCGCTGCTGCTATTGCGATGCGACACATCCGTGACCTGTGAAACAGTTTTGACTTTCCAACTATCGTTCAATGTTCAAATCGATTATTTAAATCTCGACTGTACTTGCAGTCTTCCTCAGTTCAGAAAAAGGGTTTTACATTAAAGAAGATTAAACCTTATTTCAACAGAAGTGTCAGCACTTGATGAACAGCAAGGTTTTAGTGTGTTTCTCAACCAAATAGTTGCGTTTTTGTTTCTACGTAAGTGTTCCCGGAAGCGAATGGAAATAAAAAAACTGTTCCCCCATTCGAAGCGGAAACTGTGGCTAGATTCGAACGCGGTGATCCCATCATTAGAATACAGAGTTTAGTACATATTCTATATATTTCACTCAGAGCTGGTCATTAAATCGTCATTAATTATGGCTTAATTAACAGTGTAGCGAACGAAGTTATTGTCTACGTAAATGGATCGCTACATTAATATTCTATGTTCTTTTAACGAGTGTCTATTCAGCGTAAAAGTTTTTTCCATCGGAGGAGCGTTATCGATCCGTTGTTATAGTAGATCCCGTAGACTTTTTCGTACGTACGCGATTACATTATTTCGCGGTGGATTTAGAAAAAGATCGATCTCCATAGAATTTGGGATAGGAACGTCACACTGTAACGTGGGACTGGAAACACGAAGAATCGAAGAACACCGCGCGAGAGCAACCCTCCCTAATATTACAGAGTAAACGGCGCCGAACAAAGCCCTGTTTACACTCGGCCAGGTCAGGATATTGGTCACTACGGTCCATCCTATGCTTTTGTGTTTTATAAAACTCCCCCCTCCCCCGTCCACGTCCCTTCCTGTCGTTCATCTCACTAGTGGCTTCCTTTATTTATTTGCCAAATATTGAACAGCAGCGCTTTTCCTGCCTTTCGAGATCGAATGTAAAAAGCTGAATCCCGTACGGGGATTGGGGTGAAAGTTTCGCCGGAAGTTAGATAGAAGTTTTAAACGCATAAATACAGCTGTTAAATATATTTTGAAAATAGCAATTCGAGTCTAATCTCGCAAAATCTTTATTGAAAATTTGATAAAGTCTGAGGAAGACTCTAATGTCTAAGATTGGAGATATCGAATAATGATTTCGATGGAAGCGATTCCACTAACCAGATTGAGGGCTTCCCTGTCCGAGTCCATGGAATCATGGTCGAGGTTCGCCTCGGTGGCATCCTGGATGTCACTGGCGATACTTCTGTCATCGCCGCTGAGCTCCGGGCCGTCCACCTCGCCATGGAGATCCGCGTCTGTAAAAATCAAAAGAACAAACATTTCAATCATCCGTGTTCCCGACAAATCTCGTTTACAAATAATTTAGCTCGAAAGCTCGTCAAAGACGTTCGATCTCGAATCAGTGGGATAACTCGTACAGTCATTGTTGTTCTGAGGCCTGTATTTCTGGTGGTGGTGATAACGCGTGGGGGTGGAAGTCGGCGTGCTGGTCGCATGGAGTCGCATATCAGCAAAAATCATCCTCGGGTCCTCGAGGAAGACCATCTTAGCCTCGTTTGTTCGCGAGGATCCCCGTGGCCCGTCGCTCGTGGTCACATCGGGGTGGTTTCCAAGGTCCAGCACGGCGGTCAGTGACCGAAAAAAACTAGCCTCAAGGATCAACGAACTTCCGGTGGCCCTTCGTGTTCTCGTTCCGCATCGCGAGGGAACGATCGCCCGGCACTGTTCACCGTTATTACTTTCGTTTCGAGAACCGCGGCAGAATCCAATGAAAGAAAACGAACATCGATATCAAGATTAAATCACGCCTCTATCGAAAACACGAGGATAAAATAACGGAAAGTGAAGATCGATTACCTTGTGCAGAACACGCGGGTGTGAATATTATTTTAGTTTCAAAGACAAGGGAGATAAAAATCGATAGAGATTAATTCACTCCGTGCAGAACACGTGGATGTAAATCATACTTTCGTTTCGAGACTGAATCCAACGAGAGAAATCGATAGAAAAATTAAATCACTGCGGAAAACACGTGGCGATAGATCCAACGAAAGAAGGGATAAATCGATATAGAGATGAGTTCACTCTCTGTGGAACACGAGGATGCAAATATTTGTCGCAGCCTGGTGTTCGAATTAGCGGCATGAATAATTAATACCGCGCACTCTGGTCGCCCGAACGAGTCGAATATTCAAACGAAGGGAGCAACCTTCGAGGGCAGACACACTCTGGGATCTCGGAAGGTCGCGCGAACCACCGGTCCTCGTCGAAGGACCGATACAGAACGAATGTCAGAATGACGCAACGAAATTGTGCCCCTAAGGACGAGGCGGCCCTCCCCACCATCGCCGCGCGGCACGAAGGGCCTCGACGATTGGTCGCGGGCATCCGAAGTTCGCGCGCGATTGGCCGCCGAGGAACCCTTTGGCCCTTTGCTTGCGCCCCTCTCCATGGGCCGCGAATCAACCCTTCGGTGCATTCATCATCGTATCTTATGACTGGCCCTCCCTCGCCACCCTTTCCTTCGTCTTTCGCTGCTGTGCACCCTTCCTCCTCCTCAGAAAAGGGGTACAAGCCGGATAATGGCACGAAACCGATTCGTTCGGTTCGAGAAAACGAGCTTACGAGCCGCCATTCGCCATTCAAGCACGAGCATAACGGTTTTTAATAATAATTACTTCGATACGCCGGGGCGGGATAGTCCTTTTTCGACGGGGGATTTGCGGCATGGCGGCGAACTTCGACTTTTATTCAGAATTGAGACTTTTTTAGCACTTCTCGTTGACTCACGATCAATTATACTTAACGTTAGATTTATTTTATATTACATCTGCAACTGTTTTTCGATGACTGACGTTGCAACATAGAGAAAGAGGGAATACAAATTTACGTACAAAGATACACAAACTCTTTAGAGTAATAGCTACCTAGTCGGTAAATTTAAATTAAAAATTCTGATTAGTCATAGATCTCTGAAAGGTTAATATCTACGTTCACCATGACTCGATGTTTCGTTCCATTTCCATTTGGGAACCTCTTCTTTATGAGACCTCGAAATGGAGTATAATTTTCAAGATCTACGACTGAGATATAGCCCCCATTTACGTTTATTTAGTTTCAGAAAGCGAAACGAAAAGGAGCTAGATTTTAATGAAAGGAAAATAAGATTCTTGTACATCAACTTAATGGTATCAGGAGGGGTCATTTTCACACCTATGGCGCAAAATCGAACACCGCAAAGGGCGCGAGAATGGGCAAGGGTCAGCGAACCAAGGCGACGAAAAAAGAAAGTCCCTTGGCCACTTTGGCCGTGCTCGAACTTTCCCATCGAGGACTCGCCGTCGGGACAAAAGCGAAGAACAGAGATAAACGCTCGCGAAACGCTCGTAAAAAGGCCGAGTCGCAGGTGGGGCTACTATGGGACGAACGGAGGGACAGGGGGGGGGAAAAAAAATTTCAAAATCCTGTGAATCCTGTGAATTCAACGCAACGTTTACGGGTCCCAGCTCGCCCCGATTTTCGCTCCTTCGCATCTATACCTCCCCTTCGTACCTGACGTGGATTCCCCCGAAAACGGCGAAAAAAAGCAGAGAGAGAGACGCGACAGGTCAGGTAGAACAGCCTCAGACAGCAACGAACAACATCGGCATTGGTGGATTCACTATAAAATTTCAGTTGCGCCATCCGTCGTCATCCGCGCGGCCGATTACACCCTGTGCCTTCGATCCACCCCTCGAGCGAACCGTACGCGACTAAAAAGCAGGTACCCGCGCGCTCACACACGGCGGTTTCCCTTTTTGCCCCTAAATTTGCATCGTCGTTCCCCTCTTTTCATCGAAAATTACGCTTTTTTTCTCCGTGAGAAGCTCCCGGGGCCTCCTTGCATCCAGAAGAAACACAGAGACACGAAGGGGGGGAAAAAGGATTTTTGGGGAGAATTCTGTCGGTTCCTATTTTTCCACCCTTTTCGCCGTCGGAACGAGACGCTGCTGGAGCAACGTTTATCGTGGTAGGCCGTGCCGCCAGGTGCGAGCTACGTCGACCAACGTACACCCGACTCAGATAAGGCAACCGACCGTTTTTTCTCCCGTTTTCCTCCCAGCTATCGCGAACGACGCGATTGGTGCACTCTCGTCTCCGTTCGATTCGAATCGGGACATTCTCCCGACGCGGATCGTCGGTTTGAACAAAAAATGTGCAACGGACGCCTCTAATGGAACGAAGACGAAACGTTCGGATCAACGGTTTTTTAACGTACTTTCGCGAAGAGAATCCTACACGTGCCTACGAGTTTCTCGAATCTTTCAAACATTTCTACGTAAAAAACTCGAGGAATCACAATTAAATCGTCTCCCGTTCGATCCAGCTGCAAAATAGGCGAGGATCGTATCTCACGACGCGTCTTTGTCCCGCATCTGCATACTCCGACGCGGCTAGGTGCCATTATAAATAGCTCGGGCACAATGCCGCTGCCCATGCAATTTCCAGCCATTGAAGCCCGTTTAACGTTTGCACGAGTGACACGGTAACCGTCTATCCATCACCCACCCACATTTCCACGCGGATCGGCCTGCACAGGCACACGCACACGCAACGGGGACCGTTCTGCGACGGGGGCTGCAGCTGGACGTAGCAGTCTCCTTTTCGAGCAACAACGCTGCCACGACTTTCCGCCGCGTTCTCTCTCGTTTCTTTTTTCACAGGTCGGGGGAAAACTGGGCGACGACCTGACCTTCCCGAAAACTAGCCCGGAATCCGGGAAAACATAGTGCGCGTCACGTACGTCAGGTGATAAAACGGGACAACGGGACGCACCTGAGATGGCCAACGCGAATTCTGGATCTTTGGGGGACGGTGTCAGGGGCCTTGGTTTTCGATCGAAGGGTTGAGAACTTATGGATCATCGATTAGGAGATTATATACTCGTGACATTAGCAGAGGAAGTGCAACATGTTTGGAACAAGAGTTTGTATTTCAAACGTTGGTCAAAATGGAAAATATATTATATGTAATTAGAAAAGGATTATTTCTTCACGGTTTAACACGTTGACTGTCGCAACCAATAGTAAAAATACATCACCGATCCATTGAGTGTTAAGAGCACCGTTAGTTGGAGGGTTAAATTTCAATAAATCGCGATTCGGGTGCAGCATGGGCGCGCGGCAAATAGCCACGTCCAATTCACGTCGACGGGCCGTGAATATTTCTATCTAATTCGAGGGAATGGGCCCGGGTGAATAGCCGCGGCAGCTTTCTCCGCCCGCGACGCAACAATCGCCGTACGAAGAAGTTCCATTTTCTGGATGAATTCTGCCGCGCAACAAAGCCCTCCGGCTCGTCTATTTCCTCTCTGTCCCTCCTTGCTCGTCCTCCTCCCCTGGTCCGCCTCGTTCCGTTGCGTGGGATCAGCCGATGTTTTTGTTCGTTCGGGCGAGAATAGCCACCGACGACGAAGGGCGCGTTGCCCTTTTCTCGCGATCTACATAAAATATCGATTTCTTCGGCTTTCAAGGAAAATATCGGCGAGTCACGAATACCCCCCCGATACGCTCTCTCTCCGTCTCTCGATCGCTCGTTCGTCTCTTCCTTTTTCCTTATTCCGCGACGGCATTCGTGAAACCGGCTCTTCTCGGTTTAACGAACGGTACCACAAAGGAGAAATCGTTATTTTCACGGCTACGGCCGATTTCGCGGTTGCATCCCTCGTTCCCTTATGCTGCCTCCCCCTCCTGCCGCAGCTCCGCCCTCGAGTTGGCCCTCGCCGGATCGCGGTCTCTCCTTTTGCTCAATTTACTCGTTGCTCGCCCTTCCTCCGCTCCGACGTCTCTCTGCTTCTTGTTTTTTCTTTTTTTTTATCCCCGGTCTCTGTCCGTGCTCGCTTTCTGCGATCGATCTCGTAATTCGCAACACAGACTCCCGGACAGAGCACAAAGTAATGGGCTCGCAATTACGGAGGACGGCCTCCGTGTCTTCTTTTCGACCGAGGACGCCGGGCGTCGGTGTGGATACCGTCCTCCCCGCGTTACTACCTGCGCACACGGCGACGTCCAGTCAATTTTTAAGTCACAGCTGCGTGGCACTTTGATCTTCCAGGCGTACATTTACAACTCTATCGAAGGAATAACGAGAAAACAGAAAACATCGTTCTGGAGCAAAGAAACTAACGAGGGTTAGGTTGCGAAAGAATTCATACTGGAATTTATATTTTGATTTTATTATTATGGCCAATGGAGTCGTTGAAGAAGATGAAGAGCTCCGATTACAAAAATTAATTGGGGATTTTTTTCCAGCTCTT